TCCATCCGGGATGTCGTTGTTCACCGAGTATACGTCGACACTGGAAGTTCCGCAGACATCATTTACGAGCACTGTTTCCGGCGGCTACCCAACGCCTGGAAGGAAGGACTAAGGCCAGCTACGGGCCGACTCACAGGGTTCACTGGCCACAGTTTGTATCCCTTAGGTATGATCCACTTGCAATTTACACTAATCAGCCAAGACAAAACCAGGCGACTGACTGCTCTGGTAGATTTCGTAGTCATACGACACCCATCAGAGCATAACATCATATTGGGACGGACGACCCTAATGAAGTTCGGAGCAGTCCCATCAATAATCCACGGAATAGTCAAATTCAGCACAACCCAGGGACCGGGAACGATTTTAGCCATGCCCCCAAGGGAGCTTAGGTGTTACGAGATCATGCAACCAAAAGACATCTCAGCCGAAGCCAAGAGACCAAGACCGGATTTGTCGGACGGGGGAGAAGTAATCAACCGGGAATACCCAGACCAGCGGGTGATCGTGGGAACAACCCTCCCCGCGAAAACAAGAGGAGTGCTGGTCCAGCTCCTACAAAAGTATAAGCACATATTCACTTGGACGCCTGCAAACATAGTGGGAGTCGACCGGAGGATCATAGAACACAAGCTGATGATAAAACCAGGAACCAAGGAGATAAAGCAGAAGAAACGGGTCCAAGGGGGGGGGGACCGAAACTAGGCAATCAACGCAGAGGTAGCCAAATTAACCAGCGCCGGAATCCTCAGAGAAGCGATTTTCCCTACATGGATCGCCAATCCGGTAATGGTAAAAAAGCACGACGGTAGCTGGCGTATGTGCATCGATTACTTAGATCTCAACAAGGCATGCCCCAAAGACTGCTACCCATTACCAGAAATAGACCAGAAGGTAGAGTCTCTGCAAGGATTCCAGTGGAAATGCTTCCCAGACGCATACAAGGGGTATCATCAAATCTTGATGAGCAAAAACGACGAAGAGAAAACAGCCTTCTACACAGACCATGATACTTTCTGCTACACAAAAGTTCCGTTTGGGCTAAAGAACGCTAGAGCAACTTACCAGCGGCTCGTCGACTCTTTGTTCGCCAACCAAATCGGTCGGAACATCAAAGTCTACGTCGACGACATGGTCATCAAAAGCCCAGACGAGCAGAAGCTGTTACGAGACGTAGAGGGGACACTACAAACCTTGGAGAGAGCTAAGATGAAGTTAAACCCCGCTAAATGCACTTTCGGGGTAGAAGAGGGACAAATCCTGGGGTATTATGTGACAAAGGAGGGAATTTAGCCAAGCCCAGCCAAGATAAGTGAGCTCGAGGAAACGCCTTCGCCTAGCACGCTAAGGTACGCGCAAGGCTTGAATGGAAAGCTAACAGCGCTCAACCGGTTCATTTCTAAGTCAGCTGAAAAAGCCATGCCACTGTTCCATACGCTCAAAGGGTGCATAGAAAAGAATAATTTCCAATGGACGTAGAAGCCGAATCGCCGCTACAGAAGATAAAAAAGGCGCTCCATGCACTTCCCACTCTGGCTAGCCCAATACCCGGAGAAATACTACAAGTTTATCTGTCTGCATCAAGGGACGCCATTTCATCAGTACTGGTAGTCGAGAGGCAGGGACGGCAGCTCCCGATCTACTTTGTGAGCCGGGCCCTGCAGGGACCCAAAACCAATTACCCAATCATCGAGAAACTGGTGCCGCCCTAATCTACGCAGCGCGCAGGCTCCGTCGGTACTTCCAGGCCCACCAAATAGAAGTATTGACTAGCTGCCCGATCAAACAAGTGCTCCTGAAACCAGAAATGTCAGGACAACTCGCAAAATGGGCCATAGAATTGGGAGAGCACGACATCGGCTATCACCCCAGAGTAAGCATGAAGGGACAGGCATTGGCAGATTTCTTACTCGAAATCCCGGGGGAACTCCAGCAAGAAGTAGCCGGCACGACCCCGCAAGGGGGGTCACAGGGGAAGACTGACCAGCAGTGGACCCTTTACACGGACGGGGCTTCCAGTAAAGAAGGGTCAGACGCAGGGCTAATCCTTACCAGCCCCACGGGCGAAGAAGTCACATACGCTTTACGTTTCGACTTCCGTACCTCCAACAACGAAGCCGAGTACGAAGCCTTTTTGGCTGGCCTCAGATTGGCAGTAAAAATGGGGGCGGAAAGGGTTATGGCCTTGACCGATTCACGCCTAGCAGCCAACCAAGTCTCAGGGGAATTCGAAGCAAAAGATAAACGAATGGAGAAATATGTCAAGGCGGTACAAGGAATCACGAGCTCGCTAAAGAGTTTCACAATAAAGCAGATTTCGAGGGGAAACAACAGGCGAGCAGATGCCCTCAGCAAGCTAGCGTCAACATGTTTCGGGCACCTATCAAAGGAAGTATTAATGGAGGTACTAAAAGAAAGGAGAATCGATGAACACCAGGTTGATTCCCTATCAACAACGCAACCCAACTGGATGACGCCCATCATGGACTACTTGCAGCACGACATACTCCCCGACGACCACGGGGAGGCTCGGAAAACAAGGATACGAGCCCCTAATATGCAATCCTGGGGGGAACACTATATAGAAAAGGCCATATGACTCCATGGCTCAAGTGCATAGATGGTGAGTCAGGGAAGAAAGCTCTAAAGGAAGCCCATGTAGGGTCAGCTGGAGCCCATGAGGGAGCGTGGGCGCTCACAGGCAAAGTACTACGCATGGGGCTCTACTGGCCAGACGTACACCAGGACGCAGTCGAATTAACCCGGGCTTGCGTAGAATGTCAAACTTTCTCGCCGGCACAAGGGGTACCACCATCCAAATTAACGAGTATAGTTAGCCCTTGGCCTTTCTATCAGTGGGGGATCGATATCGTCGGCCCTTTTCCAGAAGCCCCAGGGAAAGTAAAATTCTTAGTTGTAGCGGTCGACTATTTCACAAAGTGGATAGAGGCCGAACCGCTGGAGTGTATCAGTGGAAAACAGATAATCAAATTCGTTTGGAAGAACATCATAACAAGATTTGGGACACCCAAAATCTTAATCAGTGATAATGGTTTGCAGTTCGCCGAAAATCCCTTCAGGAGATGGTGTAGCGAATGAAGAATAGAGCAGAGATTCACATCTGTGGTGCATCCCCAAGCCAACGGGCAAACAGAGATGTCCAATAGGAAGTTGGTGCAAGGGATCAAGAAGCGGTTGAGCAAAGCAAAAGGTAACTGGGTAGACGAGCTACCGGAAGTCCTTTGGTCATATCGAACCACGCCATAGACTAGCACAAAGGAAACACCGTTCAGCTTGGCTTACGGGGCTGAGGCGATGCTACCAGCATAAATTATGATAGGGTCAATACGAACAGAGTATTTCCAGGAGCGAGAAAACAATGAAAATCTAAGGGAACACCTGGACCTCCTGGAAGAACGGCGAGAGCGCTCGAGCATGCGCTAGGCCGCTTACAAAAAGGTAGTGGAAAGATACTACAATCAGCGAGTCAAGGACAAGGCTTTCCGGGTTGGAGACTATGTCCTACGGAAGAATGAAGTTAGCCATGCACAACCCCGCGGGAAGTTGAGCCAGACGTGGGAGGGACCATACAAAGTAACAGGGGCACATCGCAACGGGTCATACTCCCTGGAAACCCTGGAAGGAAGACAAATACTAAGGACATGGAATGCAAGGAACCTGAGAAGGTTCCACTTCTGAGCAATGGAAAACCCCTATACAGAAGGGAGGACGATGGCATGACACCCCGATACAGTAGGGAGAGCAAGGAAGACATCCTGTGGCCGGATTGATCACAACGGACCAACAGGCGGACACTTAGGGTAGTCCGATAGGGAATTAAAGTGCAAAATTACTATGTATCAGAATCACATGAATAAAATAAATTGCATTATCTTTAGTATGAAATGCAGCGAGCATGCCCAACATATCTCTAAGATAGAAAACGCAACACAGGGGATACTTAGCGAATCCACATGCACGCGACAAAATAGTAGAATACATAATACACATACAGAAAAAAAAGAACAACCTACACAGAAGGTTCAACATAACCAAGGCAAAAAAGCATGTTCTAGCAAACAAGAAACAAAACCATCGTCCATTCATACATGAGGGCCTTAGGGGCCATAAAAACAAAATTACCAGTGCGATACAATAAAGGCCTTAGAGGCCACAAAACGTTCGAAACATAACAAGACAAGACAAAGCTTCAAAAAGATTTTTCACACCCTAGCAGGGCAGCTCCAGACAACTTCACACACCATCGCCAGCACCAACATCATCAACCTTAACTCCGTCACCAACTCCACCAGCATCATCAACCTTAACTCCGTCAACCGCCCCACCAACCCCAACACCCAAATCCTCCACAACGTCTTCACCTTCATTAAAAGCACATAGCGCCCGCACCCCATCCATGTCCAGGTGGCCCAACCCAAGCAAGCCAGCAAAATCCATGGTTGCGAAAGCCAAGAGAGCATCATCCAAAGCCGAAGAATGACTAGACCAAGAGTCGCTGGTAGAAGGGTCATAAGTCCCAGCGTCGACCTGTGCTTTCAAGTTAGCCCAACCAGATTCTTCGCCAGCAAAAAAAGCAGCATGACGAATACGACTAATACCACCTGTAAATTCGGGATGCTCAAGAAGTTTATCCATCACGCGCACAAAGCCAACCTGGAGTAGCTAATTACGGTCAGCCCTTAATACCTCCAGCTCTCGCTCGCGGTCAACAAGATCCCACTCCATACTTTCATTTTGTATCATCAGGCCTTCATTCGTCTGTGTTAGAGATTCTACTTGGCCTTCCAAAGCACTACAGACATCTTCTAAAACCAATTTCTCCGACACCAAAGATTTGTTCTCACCTTCTAATCGTTGAACGGTAGCACCAAGGCCCGCCACCTCGCCCTGCAAACCAACCTCGCTCGCCGAAAGAACAAAGTGTGCGTGCTCCGGCTCATCGAACCGTTGCACACGGTGGTACCTAGCGGCCAATTATGTCATGGCCTGTGCAGTGGCCTGTGCTCCGGCTGATGAGACGCCCCTCCGATACCCTCAGACTGTTGAACGTCATCATCGGGTATCACTAACACATCCCCTGAATGAGACGACGCAGAAGACAGCAGGTACATAAGGCCGCGACGTTGCATCACACGCTGCCCAATAGGTCCTGAACTACCCTCAGGTGCCGGCCCAATCATCGCTTTCACAGCTTTCCTCTTTTCTGCAACCTGTCGAACAGTGGCAGTAATCTTGGTCTTGCTGTCCACCGCATTATCAGTTATCGGCTCAACAGGAGGACGAGACGTAGCGGCAGGGGTTACAACAGTGTGGGGACCTGGCTGGCTCTCCGACGCCGTAGAACTTCCCACTGGTTGAGGGGGCGCAGAGGTAACAACACCTAAACGGCGAGGGGGAGGCAAAGTCTCGTACAGGGGAACCACACGGTGCTCCAGCTTTCGCTGATAACGTCCCCGCATCACAGAGTCCATGGAGACGGAGCATTCGACACCTATCAATTGTATGTCAAACATAAGGAAACAAGCACAAAAACATAGAAACAAGCGAGAGGTCCCCACCCCTCTTTTTCATCTTTTTCCAAAAAAAAGGGGAGGGGGAGGAGGAGGAAGAAGGAAAAAGGAGGCAATGGAAGAAGTAAGAAACGACTTACCGTTAGAAACAGTGTAGAAGACAGACATCTCCCCCCGAGCACGCCAACTGGGGCTCATTCCAACTCAAGCAAGTATGACCTCTGACATCACATCAACGTCCACCTGGAAGGTGCGCAAGAGATCGACAGTCACCTGATTATGGGGGAACAATTTAGGGATAATGTCAGATAATGCGGTTGCCCGAGGATAATCACGGCCAAGCAGCTCTTGGTTGACCCACAACCACTTGTCTTGCCAGTTCTTAGGAGGCTTGCTATCAAGGACAAGGTTATGGCCTCCCCGACGGGCAGAGAAGGTGTACTTATCGTTGGTAGCAGCAAACCGGAAGAAGAACTTGAACACATAGTAGTCGGGAATGATGCCATTGGCTCGGCATATCATCTTGAAGGCTACCACCTTATGAACAACACCCAGGGTCAACATTTGAATACTGCACCCATTGTGCCGGAGTATCTCCTCCTGAAAGTCAGTCAGCGGAAGGCGAAGACCGACATCAAAGGTTTTCAGATAAACACCCACTTTCCCAGAAGGGGCCCGGGTAATCTGAGATCCGGAGACCGGAAACTCCACCCCGTCAGCCGGAGTAAGGCCATAAGCCTCTTGGAGGGTGACAAACTTGGCAGAGCTGGGGATCAAACCCTGAGAGGAAGCCATGGCAAAACACAGAAGAAGGAAAGAAGAAGAAGATATGAAGAAACAAGATAGAAACTGAGAAAGAAAACCGCTTGGGAGCATTAAAAATGAATAAAAGGCGGGATTTACGAAAATCCCTGACACGGCTGACGTAACCACCGCGCACACGTCGTAACGTCACATCACCAGAAACAAGGCGACGACCGAGTAAAAGCATGACACGTGCACCAGCAGTTAAGTCCAGAACATCATAGCTAGCTAGCATACACTATGACTACTGGACTGTGGGACTTGATGACGCGCCCCTCAGAGCGGGCCAGAAGCAAGCGAACCCCCGGCGAGGAGCTCACATCGAGAGGTCGGGCCAGCGACTCAACCGCCTCAGCGACCCAGGACTCCCGTGAGGCGTTCGCGTAGGATGTCCGCCCTCGCCAAGTATTGCCCTTCAGCTACAGTCCAAGGATAACGACTCCAGGCGACAAAGAGCGCAATCAGAGCATTATCGCCTAGACCAATCGTTGGGCCGGACACAAACGTGGAGCATAGCCCTCCAATAAGAGCGGCGTATCCTGTCGGAACCACAGTCCTTGTCCCTCATACGGACCGAGGAAGATCTTCAGTATAAAAGGCCGATCACTCTGCCTTGATAGGTAAGCTATTCTACCCCGACCATCTACCTCCATACTCCATATTCACCTCACTAACTTGACCATCGGAGCGTCTTTCCGGGACCTCCTCCCGGAGAGCGGCCGACGCCTTTTCTTTCTTTGTGGCCTTCTAGGTTCCATTCTGACGACCATCTCACGGCAGCTTAGGTGGTTTGGAGCCAGGTCTCATCAAGTGCTATTATGGAATTGATATCCGGAGAGTCGCCAGAGCAGCATTCAGGGATTTCTCACTCGAGTTTTCAGCAGTCATTCTTGCGAGGTGAGTTTCCTTCAGTAGGAACGAGTCTAAGGCACCAAGGCCGGCCCATATATGTGATATCTTAGTAGCTGAGTGTGGGCGGGGCGCGAATCTCGTAGCAGCCTAGAGTGGGCGGGGCCCGATTCTCATAGTATTATTTGAGTATAGATATGTGATTGTTTGGTAGATATACTTGTTGTCTGTCTGATACTTGTATGCATGTTAGTAGTGGAGTGTGGGAGGGGCCCGAATCTCCTAGACAATGGAGTGTGGGTGGGGCCCGAATCTCCTAGACAGCAGAGTGTGGGCGGGGCCCGAATCTCCTAGACAGCAGAGTGTGGGCGGGGCCCAAATCTCCTAGACAACGGAGTGTGGGCGGGGCCCGAATCTCCATGAGAGTGGGCGGGGCCCGTATCTCCTAGTTGCATGATATTTGTATGGTATTTGGTAGTTTGGGGAACTCACTAAGCTTCATGCTTAAAGTTTTCAGTTTTGGTTTTAGGTACTTCCACTAGCAAGGGGAAGGGCTCGGGATGATCGCACGACACACACCACAGTTTCAGCCTGGGATGTTTAGACTCTGATATTTTCATATGATTTGATTCAGTATTTTGACACGATGTTTTGAGATATACGCTTTATGGTTTTCTTTATGATGATGGATGACTTATGGTTTTATTATAAATGATTTTAAAAAGAAATTTTTGGTCTGTATATTTGGGATGTTACACTTAGTGGATTATTCTTTTGGGCTGATAATGGATTTTATTGCATATTGGACTTGAAGGAAGGCCCATTTGATAAGTTGGGCCCAATTTAGAAAAGTGGGCCATAAGTGGGCCATTAGTGGGCTTGGTGAGAATATATGGATTTGGGCCTTCATGTTATGGATTTGGGCTTAGGTCATGGGTCCATTTAGATCAGGGGTAAAATGGTCATTTTACCCTAAGAAGGATTGTTTGGATTTTGACTAACTGTTATTTGGTAATGATAGCTCGGGGAGTCGTGGGAGCAGCCGATAGAGATTCCTTACCGAGAGATTCAGCAGCCAGCTTTGTGAGGTGAGTTTTCCTCCTAGGAACGGGTCTAAGGCACCAATGTCGGCCCGTTTATGTATGTTAGCAATGTCGGGGTTAGGCCGATGTAGTTATATGTTTCCGGACTTTGGTCCGATGCCGGGGCAAGCCCGAGGAATATTTATCTTATATGTTATGTGTATATATTCCAGGCTTCGGTCCGATGCCGGGGCAAGCCCAAGGAATGTTTATATGTTTATGATATGTGAATATGTTATATGCTTGTTGATATGTGATATGTATACCAGGTTTCGATCCGATGCCGGGCGGGGCCCGATGCCGGACTTCGGTTCGATGCCAGGTGGGGCCGATGCCGGACTTCGGTCTGATGCCGGGCAGGGCCCAATGTAGCGGGCAAGGCCCAATTTATGTTATTATGTGATTATGTGTATGGTATATGGTAGTTTGGGGAGACTTACTAAGCTTCGTGCTTACAATTTTCAATTTTGGTTTCAGGTATTTCCGGTAGCAAGGGGAAGATCTCGGGATGATCGCGGTGCACCCACCATTTGTTTAGTTTGGGATGTTTTTACTCTGATATGTTAGACAGATTTTTATGACATTTGAGATACATGATCTATGGTTTTTATATGATGTTTGGATAATTAAGGTTTTATCAATGATTTAAAAATGAAACTTCTGGACCATATTTTTGGGATGTTTCAATGCATTTGTTAGATCTAGCTAGTTTTGGATATTATGAGATTTTGGTTACTTTAGTGCATAAAGTTTAAATCTTGAAAGTTTGTGACCTTGTTATGGATAAAGTTGGAAACTGTATCCATCTAAATATCATTTTGATTCAGATTTGAAGGTTGGAAACTTGGACTTAATGGATTAATTAAGAAAGATGCACTTTTGGTCCCTTGGAAACTTAAAAGACTAGATCTTGGTTGCTTGGACCATTATAATGGATAAAGTTGGAAACTTTATCCATTATGGAGCTATTAGGAACCATAAAAATGTGATATTGGTCCTTTTATCCCTTCCATGCAAGAGTTATGATGTCTTAATGGATTAATAAGTTAAGGTTTTAACTTTTGGACCTTTTCTAGCCATGGGAAGTCATAAAGGTGGAAACTTTATGACTTAAGTCGATGTTTTGAGTCTAGATCTGAGCTCTGGACAAAAGGTATTAGGGATGAAGTGCTTAATGGAATGTTAGGATCAGCCAGCGTACGTTGGGCGTACCTAGGAGTACGCTTGGCGTACTGGACTTGAATCGCGAGTACGTTGGGCGTACGTAGCCAGTCTTGGACTTTGATTTTCATTGATTGTTGACTTTTGATCAAGTTTGACCTTGGGTCAAACTTGAGGATTTGGGCTATTGATTAAGATTTTATCTTGTTCTAGTGTTAGTGGATTCGCAGGTGCAAGCAGTGCAGAAAAAGGGATCGTATCATAGTGTTTTAGAGTTCTTCGATTGAAGTGAGTTTTCCTCACTGTACTTGTGGGTCGAAGGCACCAATGCCGACCCACTAGGTTATGTATCCTGGTATAGAGGATGTTTCCATGTTGTAGTGATCTGTTAGATCTGTGTCCTGGTATATAGGATGTTTCTATGCGGTAGTGATATGTAGATATGTATGTTGTCTATTAACTGGTTATATGTTCTCTGTTATGTATATGTCGACATGTTACGATTTGGGTTGAGGCTTTACTGCTATGTGCGCGAGCCAACAGATCGGGGGTAATCCAACCCGATGGCTGTGGACCTAAGGGTATTCCTGTCCGATGACTGAGTGGACCCGTTGTATATTGGCATTCCAGTTCGATGACTGATTGGGCCAGGGGTAATCCAACCGGGAGGTTGTGGACCTGAGGATATTCCAGTCCGATGACTGATTGGACCCATCATGCATGATTGTATATGTTATATGTGTTGGATTAGTGTCTAAGCCCGTAACTATATTTGGTATGTACTTGACCCGGTTATGCATGGTCCTTTTTGGGTTGCCTTCTCCAAAGCAACTTGACAAGGTAATTTGATATGAGAGAGAGGATATTATGGTTTATTAATATATTATATAAGAATAATATATTAAAGGAGAAATCATATTTATTTAATTAGTATTAGTCATAAATTAATTAGGAATTAATTTGGTGACTAAAAGAGATTAATTAAATAAAGGGGCATAAACTGTCAAATGTGTGATAGTTGAGTTTTGGGCTGGGAAACCTAATGGACTAATG